TGGCCCTAGTTTCTGAAGTGTTTCTTTCGTGTGCTGGACCATGCATTCAGCCAATCCATTCGTGGATGCATGTCCAGGTGCTGAGAGGGCATGTCATACCCCATTTTGTGATAGGAATCCCTCAAACTGTGTGGCTGTGAATTGAGGTCCATTGTCAGATATTATTACATCCAGAAGGCCGTGTGTAATAGTTTCCTTAGGGTTCTTATTACTGCCTTTTGTGGACTGCATGATGCTGACTTCCAGCCATTTAGAATATGCATCCACAATGATAAGAAATGTGTGTCCCCTTACTAGTCCCACAAAATCGATATGTATTCTAGACCAGGGTCCCCTGGGTGATTCCCACTCATGTTTGGGTGCTATGGGTGGTGCTGGTCGGTTCTCCTCACAAACCTGGCAGGTGGAAACCCAGGCCTCTATTTCTTTGTCCATCCCTGGCCACCACACATAGCTCCTTGCTAATGATTTTGTTTTAACTATCCTGGATGCCCTGCATGCAACATCTCCATTATATCACCCCTTAAATGGCTGGAATTATAACTCAATCACCCTACAATACACAACCTTTCAGTATGGATAATTCAGTTTATCTGTTTTTGAAAGGTTTAGTTTCTATGGTTTGTTCCTGTTTGGGCCACCCTGCCCTACCCAGTTCAAAACGCACGCCAGAGTTCTGTCTTTCACTGTTGCTCTCGCAATATCAGCTGCCGTGACTGGCGTTTGTTGAACTGTCTCTATCAGGAGTGTAGTGGTGGCTGGTGCTGGATCATCGTCCTCGATGGGCAGGGGGCATCTGCTTAATGGATCTGCATGATCAATCTCTTTTCCTGGTTTATAGATAAATTATAATCGTATGCAGATAAGAATTCTATCCAATGGGTCATTCTGGGGGACACGATGTTCGCGGTGGCTCTGTCCCCCGTGATGATGCCCAAAAGGGGTTTGTGTTCTGTGACAAATGTGAACTTCCATCCATATATGTATTCGTGGAATCGCTTGATTCCGGTGACCGCGGCTAACACTTCTTTGTCTAGTTGGCTACAATTCCGTTCAAGTATGGATAATGTCATTGAATAAAATGCTATTGGGGCTTCCTTTCCGTTTGGCAAAAGGTGGCTGAGTATTGCACCCACCCCAAATGGTGATGCATCGCAAGTTACTATTATTGGTAAAGTCTCATTATATTGAATCAGTACGCGTTCTGATGTAATTAAGTTCTTTATTTCTTTGAACGCTGCCTCTTCTCTATGTCCCCAAACCCAGGCTGCTTTTTTGTTAAGCAGTCTGTGGAGGCAGTTCCGCCACAGTTGCCTTCTGCAGTAAGAATATATGGTAAAAGTTAATTAGCCCCAGGAAAGCTTTTAATTCAGTTTTACCATTTGGTCTGGGAGCATCCTTGATTGCTTTGGTTTTACTGTCCGTGAGGTGGATGCCATCTTTGTCTATTGAAAACCCCAGGAATTCCACCCTATCGGCTGCTAGCTGGCATTTTTCTTTTTTTACTTTCAGCCCCACCTCCTTGAAACGGTTGAGAACTTCCTTCAAACAATCTTGTAATTGCTCTTTGTTCTTGGCTGAGATGAGGACATTATTAAAATAAGGCACCACCCCCTTAGTCCATGTCGTAAGTGTTCCATGAGGCTCTGGAATAGTCCTGGGGCAACGCTCACCCCAACTTGCAAACAGTTACATTTAAAATACCCTCTGTGTGTCACAATTGTCTGTGCTTCCACCATTTCAGCATCTACCAGTAATTGCTGGTAGGCTTGTGCAAGATCTAACTTTGCGAATATCTTTCCCCGCCCCAAGGAGTTCAAAAGGTGTTGCACCACTGGGACGGGGTACGCACTCTGCTGTAAAGTACAGTTAAGGGTTGCGCAGTAGTCAGCACAGAGATCCATCTGGCTTAAAGGGGTACTATTGGGGTTTCTCACTTCGCATGATCTATGGGTTCTAGAATCCCTTGCGAAATGAGCTTGTCTAACTGCTTGTCTATTTTTGGTTTAAGTGCGAATGGAACTTGCCTTGATTTTAGTCTGATGGGGCAATATTTGGGTCTAGATTAAAAGAAATAGGGGACCCCAAGTACTTGCCTAATTTTTCGTCAAAAACATCCCGGAATTCCTCTATCAGTTGGTCCTCCCACTCACTGTCAGTGATGCTGGGGATGCCAGTGAATTCAATTCCCAATGGCTTGAACCACTTGAGCCCCAGCAGACTTGGTCGGTCCCTGTCAACCACAGTTAAAGGCAGGATTCCAGAGTAATTTCGGAAGGATACTCTGAATTCTCCAATGCCAGTGACTGGAATCTTATTCCCTTGATAGTCTTTTAGGATTATTTTTTGTTCCTTCAGTTGTATTTTTTGTCAGTTGGGGAATTATTCTTTTGATGGTGTCCCACGACACCATTGATAGAAGAGATCTGGATTCCACTTCCATTTTTCATGGTTCACCTTCTATTGTGACATGAACATGTACTTTCTTGGCATTTGGTATGCTTTAGTGGCCCACGATTACTGTCTGGTGCATTTCACTTCTCTTTGTGCTCAGCTCATGGTTCCATCGATTTCTGCTATTTTGACCCCCATGGTTTTCAGTTTGATTTCCCCGAGTTCTTGGGGGTGTACCTTGTCTTGGTCTTCAGTTGTTTGGCTTGAATGCTCTTGCGATGTGCCCCCTTGGCTCGCAGCGTTGGCAAATAGCCTCTCGGAACTGGCATTCCGATTTAGGATGATTTCCTTCACAACCCATACACCAAAATTCCTTCCGCTTTCTTTTTCAGCTTTTCTGTTGCTGTTCAGGGTGAAGTTGATTCACTTCTTCATCATCTGCTGGCCCCCAGCCAGATTTGAGGTTCTCATGGTGAATGGTGGCGGTGTCCCTTTGGAGTGTGTGTGTGGATTCTTATTCACTTTCCTCATAGCTGCGGCGGACTTCTGCGATGCTTCTACCGTTGCTGCTTCCTTGATGGCCTTCTTTAGTGTTATTTTTGGTTTTGTTAGAAGCCAGCTCTGTAATGTTAGGTCTCTTAGTCCCAGGACTACATGATCCCTCATTGCCTCATCCACATTCAGGAAATCACATGCCCCGGCAATGTCCCTCAGATTAGTGATGAAATTGTTGATGCTCTCTCCTCCCTTCTGATCTCTCCTGTAGAACTTGTGTCTTTTGAACAGGCTGGATATAGGGGGAGTATAATGTACCCTCAGAATTCTTTCTAGATTTGGCCAGGCCATCATCTTTACATCGCTTGGGGCTGCGAGGGCTTTAGCCATTTTGAATACGGTGGGGCCGCAATGCATGAGGAAAACTGCTCTTTTCCTCTGTTCCATAATATTTATCAGATCACTGCTCTCTAGGAACATATGGAAACGATCAACATAGGACTCCCAGTCCTTGGTCGAACAGTGCAGGTGGCGTATTGTTCCCAGCCATGTTGAATTCTTTGTCCGGTTAGCTAGCCATGTTGTCGCAATCTCGCTTCTCTCAGCATCCCAGTTTCATCGCCAGTGATAGATCCAGAAGACGCGGGAGGCTCCGACCATTTAAATTTCTTTATTACATCATTCAGAACAAGGAACAGCAGCCGTGGCAGCTCCTTTTTTTACCCCAGGCTGCTGTGGCTGCAACCAGTGACCTCTCTTCAATTTCCTACCGCCACGGGTCAACCAATCAGGGCATATATGTAAATATCTAACACATATAAATTTATGATTCTATCCTAATATCAACAGTCAAGGAGAAAATAAAGAAATACCTTTCAAATATTTCTACTGCTTGATATGTGGCTGATTCAGTTAGGCTCCACTTCCTAGCTAAAAGAAAAATAAATTCTGGCAGAGGGACACAAGGGAAAATGATCATAGTTAGAAGCTCTTCTAAAATGTCTCTCAGAATTTCATCTCAGTTTAGAGAACTTAAGGCCAATTCTTACCTACTATCCGTGTATCTTTGAAGCAGCCTGCCTCACCACACAGCTCACTCAAATACCGTTCATTCTCCATAGCCATGTGAATGAAAGTATCTTGGATAATTCCAGGGGTCACTACTCCAAAGATAGGTTCTGAATACTGGTATCGGGCTGATACCTGTACAGGCAAGCCCATTCTAAAACTATTGTTAATACTCTGAAAAAATAATAATGTATCATTAAATTGCAGTAATTGATTTCTTCCAACAGTTCATTCTAACTGTTTCTATTAATAAAAGGAATATAATAATGGTTAAAAGAGGGTACAGTGACATCTATTTATTAAGATATTATCTATTTTACATATTAATGCTGTTCATATAAACTGCTTAGATTCAACAGTATTGAAATGGCATTAAAGCATCAAAAATAAATACAATTCTATATAAACTCAATGAAAGGGGAAAGCCTAAGAAGGTAATTTAGAAATTAAAAGATTAAAGTACTCTGATATAAAATTGTGCTTTCTTCAAGCTCCTATATGGAATACTCCTAAATGCATCTCTGACTGAAGATTAATTGATGGGTGAAAGCGAAGAAAAGGACACCTCAGGTACTGAAGCAGTAGATACATTCATGATATGGCTAGTAGTATATTTCAAATAAGCCTATCTTTAGAAAATTAACAGCAACCTTATTTAAAAAGTCCGGCTTTGTTTAAGGGGACAACACGAAATATGTTCAGAGTTGCGCCATTAAATTGCAATAGCATATATTAAATTTAATTAGAACATATTGAGTAAATTAAACACCAAGTCAAGGAAAGAAAAACTGCTTCTCTAAGTGTTTAGCCTTCACTTCGAAGGACAGAAACATGATACACAATCAATTTGAGATTAAACTCTTCAAATCTTCACCTATCATACCATGCCATAAACTGTCAGTTCAAAATATATGTGACTCCTCCCCTTTTATTTAGCGTTTGCCCTCATCAAAGATGGCAAAAAAAAAGCGTGACCTTCAGCAATAACAATCGGGTTTAAAAAAAAAAGAAAAGGCTGACGTCGTAGGTCACAGCCCTCACCAAAGATGGCCGCGCAGTCCTCACTGGATTTATCTTCCTGGAGTTGTTATCTACGTTCTTGCTAAGGTCCTGGGAAAGATGTCGGCGCCGCAAGGAGGAGAGTTTTCGCGCGTGCCGCCAATGAATGCCAAACCGCAAAGGATGGGACCCGTTGGATTTAATCCAGGGCCGGGCATGGGGATGGTTCGGCGAGGGATGAGCACTCGCAACAACGCCTTAGCGCTCGGGCTAGGAGTTGCCGTCGCAGGAATATGTATCCTTTGGTAATCTGAGTGTCATGGCTGTCCGAAAGGGAAAAGCGTGCTGTGGGCCACTTCCGTTGTCTGCGTCCCTGGGCTTCAATAACTTTAAAGTTGTCTGGATTCTTGCGCGTCTCCGTAAGTCCATAGAAGCTGGTTTAAGATCGGGGGGCGAGGGCGGAAATTTAGACCTCTTGCATGGGCCCTGCAGACCTACTAGAAATGGATTGTTTATTACTCTAGTTCTCTCCCTGATTTTAGGAGGGGAGATCAAGATCGCCGCGTGGCGTTCTCCTATTTTGCCCTAGTTTTATTCTTGCAGTTACAACCACGGGAGAAATGACTGGCTGACAATTAATCTTCCAATGCCCCTGGTCCAGTGAATCCTGAGTGTCTGTTCTCATAAGCCAAAGTTTATCCACTACACACCATCTTGGAAACAGAAATCAAATAACTTTAGGAAACGTCAGATTGTACTGTAAACTTTCACAGTGAGTTGCATGAAGCAGGGACTTTCCTTGTATGCTTTGGCTCCTGGCTATAAGGAAGCTAAATGCATTGCTCCTAGCCACATCCCAGCCTATTTCCTGGATGCAGATAGCTAAGACCTTTGAGCTAGAATTTGCAGGTATTGAGATATTTTTCTGATTGTTCAAGAGTATAAGGAGGATTTTGAAATGTTTTTCAAAATGAAACATTTTAGTCCTTTTTTCAGAATATGGGAGTCCATCATTTGTTCATACAAAATACCTAATACTGTTTTGGATGACTCAGCCTGGGGGGAGGGGAGGCGGAGAGATAAACCTAATCAGTAAGATTGGGTTTATCTTCCTCCCCTTTCACATTGTGTTTGTTAAAGCACATCTGACATCAAGATTAACTTTTTTCTAGGAGAGGTAAATTTTGAAAGGCAAATGATATTACCTTTCTTTCTTCAGATTTTTTCCTTTGCATCTAGTTTAGGGCAGATATAGTATCATGATGTGATCCTTCTTGATTGGTGGTGGAAATGATGTAAGATTATTTAATATAGACTAGTAGCATGCATACTGTACTTTTCCTGAGCTGTCATGTGCAGATACCTATACCATGTATGCTTTCTCTCAAGATGTCTTGCTGAATGAAGTAGAGACAGAGGCTGAAATCATACGAGCACAGGCAGCAAAGACCTCATCAGATTGAGATTGAGATTGAAAGAATTGAAGAATTACCCATTTTAGAGGTTGAAAATCAACATTCCTCTTTGTGCGCTAAGATTACTTGAGGATAAGTTATACAACTCCAAGGATAATACCCTGCATTTCAAAGTGTTCATTGATAACATATATTGCCATGTCTAAGCTATAAAAGCCATTTAACCTTTCTATCTACTTTGTGAAACTCCAATAAACAAACTCAATGAAAGATAATTGTGTGTGAGAAGTTGTTTTAGGGTAGAACTCCAAACTGCCTGAAGAAGACTCAGACCTTTTATGTACTGAGTTATGTTTTAAAATACATTTTGCATCTGAAAGAAGGTAATGATTTATTTACCAGTAGCATAGGTGAACTCTTTCTGTTCCTCATATACATCTAACTTAGCAAGGTGTCAGTCTTTATCAACATATTTATATTTATTAGAGCTTTATAAGCTTCAAAGGGATATTTCATTTTCATGGTGCTTTGGGGGAAATTAGACCTTCAAAGCTGTTTTATGAAGTAACATGACCCCTATTATCCTACCTTTGCATTGTATTCTGTATGTTCCTCCGCTCCCATTCAGTTAGAACAAACACAAAATGCCTCAATAAGGTTACCAATGTTTCCTCCACAATGCAAAGGACCGCTAACCATGTCAAATTCTAAATTCTTTGCAAAGACCAAATATATTTATAAACATGACAGGAAGCAAAATTGTAATAAGAATCTTGCTCAAAGGATTGATTTTTAAATCTTTTAAATATTCTTACTTGGAATTGTAGGTTCTGAATATAATACCTTTGAAGACTATTGACCTAAAACATGTGTAACAATTACATTTGAACAGTTCATCTCTTTTTCAGCAGCTACTGTGTTACATTTATCTTTAATGAATGTATTTAATCTTCAAACCTTTCCAAATTGAAATTAGTAGTAGAAAGGAAATATTTTATTAGCCGTCTTGAAACTCTCACCACCCATCTTGAGTAATCTGTTCAGAAGTATGAGAGGTAGTATGGAATAGATACAAACCCAGGTTGTGCCCAGAAAAACTTCTGTGGATATCAGCACAAAAAATATTTTATTGAAGAAATAATAGGCAAATGATTAATTTACTGCAAGATATTGAAGTTTTGTCAATTCTAAAATAAAACCAAAAGTAGAACTGATGGCAGAAGGATATAATTGTCAGTGATTCTCTTATTTACAATTATTAGAAAACTAGACAAAATTATGATTTTAAACACTAATACTTAGTTTGAAATAGAATTATGTAGAACAAATATGAAATATGATTACTAAAATGCATAAACATTTATTGAAATTTGAAACAGAAGAACAAGTAAGAGAATGCATGATAAAGGTGCACCAGAGGTGAGGTAGGCCCTACTCCTGACCTTTCAGAAAGATAACCCTGGCCTTGCTTGGGGTGCACAGAGCTGCATGCAGCCTTAGGGCTGGCTAGCACCCTGAAAGCCTTCCCCACGTTTTAATTAATTTTTAACATAGAATTTTATTCATGATTGCCTCTTTTACATTTTATATACTGTTTTATGTTTTAATATTTTATTTGTGCACTGCCCAGAGTGACTCTATGAGGGAGATAAGCATTTTCAAAGGTTTTGGGTATAATAACCAGGTGGAAGCTATTCACAGCTTTCCAATCCCTTTCCGAATCATGCCCATACTGGACCCAATCATCTATGATAAGAGGTTTTTAAACCAAAATCTGAATTTATTTATTTTTTTATACCGAATCATGCTAATTTAATCCCTGCCCTAATGTTAACAGCAGTTTGCAATCTCTTTGATTTAATCATCTAATAATTATATTTGTCACTTCATTGGATTCTTCTAATTCCTTATAATTTAAGTTAAAAATACTAACCTTTGGAAACTATTTACAACTAGTCATTGTAAAGAATGTCTTTTCATTGAAGTATTTTTGTGCTTTGATAATTCTATTAAAATGCTTCATCCTACAGACAATTGCTCAGAATGCTTTTTGAAAGTTACAAGCGTTTACTGAATCCCACATTATACATATATTTGATGTTACTTTAAATAAGTAAGGCAATTAACTTTCCAGAAAGTTGTAATGTTAGATTAACTGGTCTATACCTTCTTGTCCTCTTTCCATTCCACAAAGATAAGACATCTTTTTTAAAAAAAAGATAAATGCTTGATTAGTGTCTTCTAACAGAGAGATTACACTTGGGATTACAGTATATTAGGTTTGAAAACAGACTAAAATTAGCTTCTGTAATTATCCAACTGCCCATCTATTAACTTAATTTCTGCTTTTAATGGGCTTAATGTTAAATTAATGAAATTTCTTTAAGGAGCCTAAAAAATATGTTTGCGTCCATTATTATTGCTTTACATTCTTTTTGTTATTTAATTACCAAAAAAATAATAATAATAGACATTCCTTTATTTACAAACTTCAGAGTGACAAACATTTACTAATACAAACAAACCTGTCAGTGACTCCAGCCTAAAAGATTCTACGGGTAGAAAGTGTTAGTTTATGCATGCTGTGAGCCTCCCATAAAGAAGGTGGCATAAAGAAGGTGGCAGTATCCCACACCCCTTGGCTAGGAGCATGTTTGGGAGGCTCCACTGACTGAGTGGAGCAGAGACTGGCATGAAAAGACCTGAAACAGGATCCAAACACCCTAGGAGGGTAGAGAATTGCTAAGGCACTAAAAAGTTGTCTCCACTTGAATGCTGACACAGAAGGGGGTTCTATCAGAGAAGAACAACTGACCCATGCACATGCTTGGAGAAGTCTAATGGTAGGGAAATGGGGTGGCATGAAAATGGGCATTGGAGCTGGGAGTCTCCCACTGCTGGAAAGCTCCCACCAAATTTGCTCCTGGTTATCCCTGTGGAGAATGAAATGGGCTGCCTACCGTTGTTTATATGATCAAGACTAAACAGTGTACCTCACCCTTTCACTTGTGGGTTGTACTGGTTACCTTGCTGGCAACTCTTTCCCAGTGAGGGTCCCAGTGGCCTGTGGGATGACTGGCCTGCTCTTGCCCCAGTGGCTGAAATCTGAGCAAATAAGTAAGCAGTGAGAGAAAGCTGAGATGCTCACTGATGCTTAAAGGGCATTAAGGGGTTAATTTGCAATCAATCAGGTGAAGAACTTTAACAACATTTTTTAAATACTTCGATAGACTTATAAAAAAGGCACTTAGTAATAGCCTCTTGGAACACAACCTGTTCATAAGTAGGGGATTGTAACCTTTTCTATAATAGTTGCCATGATATTGTACATTAAGGGGTTCTTGGCTATTTGGACATAAAGGTACTTTGCTTACCCTTAGACTATTTAGAATTTAGCAAGAGCATATATGAGTCACAATTCTATAAATGTGGAACAAAAAACAGATGTCTCTTAAAATGTAAGCCTTTTCAGTTCAGATTTGAAGATCGATCCTCAAGGAAGGCTAATAAGGTCAATCAAGGCATGACTAATACATAATTTCTATTGAAAAACTCCAGGGAATGACTACAATGTATAAATAAGATAATACTAATGTCACACAGAATTAGTACGAGTACACTAATATTTTTCAGATATTAGAAATACATAGTCACATGTAATTTTTAACAGCTTTGCAAATCTTTTTATGCACATATTAAAATACTTCAGAACATCAAAAGTAACTATTTAGTGAAGGTCAGAATATCTGAAAGCCGTTTTTCAAAGCAAAAGTGACTTCAGGAAGTGGGATTTTAGGGCAGGTATGGCAAACGAAAGATGGCTTTGTGAAAGCAGAGCCAAAGACCCATGGCAAAGATCTTTGCCAAAGGAATTGATGAGTAAGTTGATTCCTTGGAATCTCTGGATAAAGAGGTTGCCTGTGTGTGCTCCAGATGGCTGCTTCCCACTACACCAGGGGTCTCCAACCTTGGCAACATTGAGACTTGTGGACTTCAACTCCCAGAATTCCTCAGCCAGCAAAGCTGGCTGAGGAATTCTGGGAGTTGAAGTCCACAGGTCTTAAAGTTGCCAAGGTTGGAGACCCCTGCACTAGACTACAGGGCAGTCGTTTTCTATGGATTTGAGTGCTGGGATATGATGAGATTATCCATCTTTCTCAACAACTCTGGTGGGACTTTTTAAAAGAAATGATGTTTGCAAGCCATACTTTGAGAAATTGCTCATTAACTATTTCTAAGCTATTAGAGACCTTCACAATGACAAGTTTGAATATGACAGATGAGTTTACCTTTAATCCTAAAATAAAATTTTAATTGTAAGCTTAAGAATTCAAAGAATCTGAAATAAACAGCAAAAGATAAATAGGATTTTGATCCTAGAGAGTTATAAATGGATTAAGGATCCAGATATAAAGAGATTTTGGAGTTACTTATAAAGTACAAATAGCTTCTCATGGGAAATAGCTTCTGTTATGGTTTTTATATGACATGGATAAATAATTTTATGATTTCAAAAATTGGCCATTATAGGGAACTAAAAATTTTATCTAGAAAACCTATATAGAGGCTTGAAAGTTGCTTTATGTTATAACAATGACACTGAAGGAGAATTTTGGAGAATTGAATCAGAAAATAGTCTGCTTCTATGGAGAGACTACAGATGTCCTTGACTTAAAACCACAAATGAGCCCCAAAATTTTGCTAAGACAGTTAAGCCATTTTTACCCCATTTGGGGACTTTTCTTGCCACAGTTGTTAAGTGAATCAATGTACTTATTTAATCAGTATCATAGTTGTTAAATGAATCTGCCTTCCCACTGTCTTTGTCAAAAGGTTGCAAAAGGTGATCACATGACCTTGGGACACTGCAATAATCACAAATATGAATCAGTTGCAAAGTGTCTGAATTTTGATCATGTGACCATAGGAATGCCACAGTGTGAAAAAATGAGAAAAATGTAATATGTCACTTTTTTCACTGCCATTTTAACATCAAAAGGCATTAAACATCATTAAAAGGATTGTGAGTCAAGGACTGCCTGGATATTCAAAAGATATTATTGAACAAATATCGGATATAGAACAAATGTTATTTGACAAAATAAGAGATGGTATCAAAATTGGATATATAACTGACAGGGGAATGATTTAGAACAGTGGTCGCCTTTTGGGCGCCAGGGACTGGTTCTGTGGAAAGAGGTTTTTCCAAGGACCAGAGAGGGCATGGTTTCACACATTGCCTGCATCCCACACATGCACAGATGGGCTTCGCTCA